CTGCTTAGAAATATGCGTATTTAGACCCAATAGGGTTTTTCGTTCTTAAAGAAACCGATATTGGGTGTGTTGAAGATGAAATAGTCGATATTCTTCAAAATAAAAAAATTTATCAAGATCAATTTTTAAGGACGACAGCACCGATTGTAACCTTTGTGTCACCATCGTCATCGTTATTATCAACTGCACTAACAACAGTATCCAGAAAAATCGGAGCGAAATCGATTAAAATTGATTGATTTTTACTTCCATTTAGGAAACTTCAGCTTACTAATGATAGCACTGTAACACTCCCAGTTGATTGGATTTCGTACATGATATTTGACCTTCTCATGTTGTTCACTCGTATATTATACATTGTCCTTACCTTTCTATTCTTATGCTTTTGTCTTTACTCTATTGTTCTTCTATATCTGCTCTCTCCTTGGCCTCATCTCCTCTCTCTTCATCCTCTCTTACTCTACTTGCGTATATAAGCGTGTGCTTTTTATGTAAACGATACGATTATATGATATGAAGGAATAGAATAAAGTGTATAACCATCGTTATTATCCCCTCTTCTATCATTTATTCGTCACAAGCGCAATTAAAAGTAAAATATTAATAATTAATGAAAAACTAACCAGGGAAGGTCATCAACTGTCCAATCGCTTTTGAGTTCGGACTCTGTACATAAGGTAGACCTCAGTGACGTATGAAAAACTCCAAAAGAATAACGGCCATTAGGCCTTCTGCCCAGAGTTATAGGGACTTTACTGGAATTTTAGCCTATGGCATGGTATTTACCAACAAATCGAATGACGATATTTTGAGTTCAGATTTTGCCCACAGATAGGTCTAGTTGTGAGTAGAATGCCCTGAAAATTTCAGCTCAAAAGAATGTTTTCTTCCCGAGATATTAAAGTCCCAAAAGTCACTCATATCTCACGAAAGATGCTAGAATTTCTGTTTTTTTTTTAACTTTAATATCTCGAGACGGAAGTATTATTTTGAGCTGAAATTTTCAGAGCATTCTACTCACAACAAGACCTGTCTATGGGGAAAATCTCAACTCAAAATATCGTCATTCCATTTGTTGGTAAATACCATGCCATAGGCTGGAATTACAGTAAAATCCTTATAACTCTGGACAGAAGGCCTAATGGCCGTTATCCTTTTGGGGTTTTTCATACCTCACTGGGGTTTACCTTATGCACAGGGTTCGAACTCAAAAGCGATTGGACAGTAGGGGATCTTCCCTCGTAAGTCCATACCAAAAATCTTCATAGGCTTCCATAATCGTCAAACGATAACGGCGGCTTCGTGAATAAATCTCAGAAAAAAGCGATACTAACTTTTCAATGTTATCGCAGCTTGCTACAACCTATTTGTTTACGCCTGGTACCATTATTTCGTCGGTGTCAGCCTTTTCCACTTCAGCTTAGATTACTCGAAAAGAAAGAGCTCATTTAAATGTTGCCACTTAAACTTTTATAATACTCTTGAATGATAAAATCATATCAAATAATGAAAATGGTCTTTATGAACAAACTAATGTTATACTTTAATTTGAGAATTTCAATAATAAAGTATACTATTGTTTTTGTTATGATTTTTATTTTAGTTTTTAAATATTTTGAAGTTTTTCTTGGTTCTATAGAGAACACATATATGTTTACGTAAAAATCTTATTCTTCAAGTTCTTTTAATACAGTATGTAGATTTTATTGTTAAACATATACTTCGTTCTGGAATTGACGATAAAAAATTAATAGATTCTGTAAAAGCATGATTACAAAACTTTTCTTTAGCTCATGCTAAAAGTGATGTATGTTGAAGAAATATCGATGCATAATTTGTCTGCACTTGCAACAGAAATACTAATAGAAATGCCTATACCAGTATCGATTAATTTGTATTTACATGATGTCTTACGTACATTATTTCGAAGCTTGTCCCATATATTTTGTACATTGATTGCATGTTGAAGTTGTTTTTAAGAAAAAGTCGAGATTGAAATAAATGCATAGGAAGATACTTCGTGAGGTCTGATCTTTCATACACAACATGATATGTAGTTGATACTTCGTTTTTCACCAGAATTTTTGATGGTATCGTCAACTTCTGGTCGAAAACACATGCTTTTTTCAGAAAAAGTGGCGAATCTTTTCCACTTTCTCGCTACTGCTTGTGCTTGTTTGATTGTATATCTCAGAATTCTTGAATGAGTTTCATTTTAGCCAATTAATATTTTTTATTTGAAAGAACATGTCAGACGGCAATACCTGACAAAACCCCTTTTTTTCAAATTCAGCTTTCTATTATTAAATAAAAGAACACTTCTATAAATAGATGACCATTTTTTTTTTGAGAATTTTCGTAGTGTTCAATTTATCATCCTTTTTCTCCAAATAAAAAGTAAGAATTAAAAAAAAGCACTACAGTCTAAGATACTCTATCGAAAACATTAATTTAATCTATAGGATGAGAGCTCACAAGCAATTTTGAGTTGTCAAATGAGCTATTCTTGACTCTTGTTTGTTGAGGATGTCCCGAAAACATCATGATACGTGAGTGAAATATTTAGCATAGCTTCTCCACTACAGCTGTAACATATCCTAAAACTTACATGTAATTTCAAGATTGCTAGTTCAACAGCAATGCTTTAGGGGAGTGGGCCTTAACGAAATGCATTCTTTTTTGTATTTAATCAAAACTTTTCGTCTACAGAACAAGATAAGGAAGAATATCAAAATATTAATGTCTATGTATAATAGCCAGTAAGATCCATCGCAGTTGATTTTGTTTGAGGTGTTACTTTTGAAGGATCAGGTGGTTGACGAATAGGTCGATATTGTTGTGTATTGTCTCTTCCAAGTTGAAATCGATCACGAATTTGTAATTTTTGCGTGTGATCTAAACCAGTGAACGTTGGATAAAATTTATTACATTTGATTCCATTTATATCATAATCATATTGAATTGATCGAGCATGTTCTTGGCGATTATTTTTATTAGTTATTTCTCGTTGTGCATATGCACAAGATAATTGATGACCACGTAAAACATAACCATTTTCAAATGTTTTTAAACATGATGGGAAACCAATGCATTGGTAACGCATGATGTATGAAAGAGTATTTTCTTTCTATGCTCTCTGGTGTTTGTATTATGATGTCTTCTGTTTATTTATGTTGCTACACACTTTTGATTCTTGAACACAAGTGAGAAGAAAGCATTAACTCTGTCATACAGAATGTCGATGAAAATACGGTTCTTTTTTGTGCTTTATATAAGAGAATAAGCAAAAGAATTGAGCTAATGGCAAATGCTCACTAACATCAGTCACGCACTCAAGAAAAAGAGAATGTATTTTTTTCATACCTGTAGTCACTTTTGACTGCATAGATCTCTTTTAATTTACTTTGAAAACATCTGAACATATCGTTGAAAATATAAGGATTACACAAGAGCACAACGAAGACTGAAAACAAAAAATTGAATGTAAGTGATAGAAAACTACAAAAATGACAATTTATAAGATACAGAATGAGACTGAAGTGTAGGAAAAAGATGTTGAGATCATTCGAATCCAAAATTGTAGTAAAGGTAACTTATCCGATATGCGTCCAATAAGTGTCATCGTTGTCCTATATTTTTCTCAAGTTTAGTAGCTAATTCATAAACAGCTTTTGAAGAAAGAAAAAATTATTGGTTGTTGATATAGAATATTGTAATCGTCTCTTTGTCACATGCTACTAAATTTCGAAAAATAATTTATATTCTAATTTCTCGTCGTTTATGTAAACATCGATCTATCCCTTTGTAGTCGGAGTGCCGGAAACATTCTATTTTTTTTGTTTTCTACAACCTTGAACCTTTGTATTAGTTGCTATGTCGTCACTGACGTTCTTCTGCTTGTTGCTCTCTTTGTTATTCTTTCATTTTGATTTATACTTCAAATGAATTAGAAGAGACACTTCATTTAAAAAGTAGTTTATTTTGCATTAGTTCATAAGTTTTATATAGATAGATGATTAGAAATAGTTGAGAATATTTCAGCTTCATAGTAGAGTTATTTATTGTTTTACCATTGTTAAGATTATTTTTGACTATTCACATATGATTTACTAACTTGTAAAGGCCTATTGTAGTTCAATAGCATATGTATTTCTTCAGATCTTGATTTTTTTTGTCTTTGTTCAATTCTTTATATATTAAATGCAATAAACAAAAATTTGATCGAAGAAAACTAGTTTTTATAATATAAGTATATATATATACACATAAAAACGAAGCAAATTAGATGATTGCAATTATAATCGGAAAAAACAGAGAAAAAAGACACTAGAAATGGTCAACAAGTATAGAGACATTTGAATTAGTTACATGATTAATTCCATTTAATATCATTGATTTATCCTGTCGATTATTTATTGAACCATCTTAAACAAAAGATAAACAATAAAATTATATTTCATTACATGTGAATCAAAGCTTACTTTGATTAGCACCATGAAGCATAAGTGCTAATTGTTGAGCATCTGTTCCACCACAATGTGGTAATATTAATTCAACTGGTTTTAAAAATTGTACACCATGTGGACCACACATAACAATTGGACTTAATAAACGTTCACCTTGTTTAGCATTAAATGTTGGAATATTTGATCCATCTTGACAAACATGAAAATAAATTTCTTGTTGAACACCTTCTGGTATAGCACCAACTGGAACAGATATTGATACACCTAAAAATTAATTGTTTTTAAATTAAGATTGAATAAAATAAATGATTTGAAACCTGTTAAAGGACAAGATAATTTTCCACCAAAATAATCCATTACACCACGAGCACTACTGATAACATTACATTCATCTTGTACTGAATATGACCTTGAAAAAAAAAGTGGTTTAGAAAATCAGTCTGTTACACAAGAAGGAAAATAAAAGAATAAGCAAAGCACATGCTGTGAATTGTATTTTATAAATAATTATTTTTATTTTAAAGAGAAAAAGAAAAATTTGAAAATAATTACTACCTTGTTTCGCCAGCTTCTTTGATACTTTTATCTTTTACACTTAATGTTGATGATGCTGATGAAGATGAAAGAATAGTCTGTTGTTGTTGTTGTTGTTGTTGTTGTCCAATAAAAGATCGATCATCATGAGTATATACACGTGGTTTTTGTAATGGAAATTCACTGTTTTGATAAAGATGTCGATTTGTTGATGGTTGATGGTTTAAATTTGTTGCGGTTGTAGAAAATGATTGTGATTTTAAATTTTCTGATGGAAAAACAGAAGCAACTGATGTATGATTATGTTTTTTACTTGAACACATTTTTTGTTTTAATAAAGATTCTGTACGTAATTTTTCATTAGAATTAATCGATGGTGTTTGTTCATTACGACGAACAGTATCCATTGATGTACAACGAATTATACGATAGGATGGATCAATATTATTACTATAAGAATCATTACCGTTGGAATACGATGGTAATATTGTTGGTCGAGATGATGTAGATGATGAAGATCTAAAATTACAATAAATTGAAAAAAAAAGAAACGTATAAAATGAATTTCTTTTGTACTTGTTCCAAGTAGCATAACCATTAACAGGAATATTTTTTTCCATCATTGTCATGGTTGATTTATCAGTTGCATTTTTTCTCATATTATGTTGAATAGATCCTCCACTATCACTCGAACTAAGTCTTTCATTTGTATGTATTGTACGAAGTTTGGGTGCAATAAGTGGTCGTCTAGATGAAATTCGATTTGTTTTTCCATTTAGTGCGTTTAATGGCAAACCACTGAAGAGAAAATTAAATGCATGTGACTATTACATGCCAACTAACAAAAAACAAGTGTTTACTTAGTTTCGTGCGCATGTGTTTTAATAAAAGGTGCTTGAATAAACTTAGCAGTGCTTTGTGTGTTAGATAAAATTTCATTTTCAAAATGATTTTTATACTTTTCTTGTTCATCTTGATGATACAAACGTTGTAAACGATAAAGATCATCTTGTTCAACATGTGTTATCGAGTCAGGACGATAAATTTGTTGTCCATTTGTTGTTAAATGATGTAAATGATGATTTGTTGAAGAATTTCGATCCTACAAAAGAATACAAATATTGTACTAGAAGAACAAAAAGAATATATATTTATTTACAATATTATATTTATCTGTACGAAATAAATCATCATTATTATTAAGAGTTGCTTCGAAATTATTATTATTATTATCATCAATGGTTTTTATATAGGATAATGATCTTTGATAAAGACGTGGATTACTTGTTGTTGAATTTGAATGTATCAATCCTGATCGATGCTGTTGTTGGTGTTGTTGTTCATCATTTGTTGTTGGCATTTCTGTTACTGAATGACTACGATTTGGTAATGATATTGTCGAATTTTGCATAAATGTACTATCTAAATAGTTAATTCAAAACAATGAAATTTGTTTTTTTTTTTACAAAAGATTATAAATTACTATCATCATCCTCTTCTTCTTCTTCGTCATCATCATCAAAATTATGATGCGAATCAGTTGAATATGAGCGCTAAAAAAAAAAGAATAAGAATTTTAAAAAACTATAGATTTCAATCATCTTAACAATTTTATCTCTTGGAAACATGACAGGATCTGATGCAACTCTTTGTAAATAATTTTTTCCATTTCTATGTTGTGTATTCATCATATCAGAATCTGGACTTGATTCATCTCGAGTACAATTATCATCGGAATAACTTTGTCGTGTTGAAATAAAATATTCATCAGAATTCGGTAAATCTTTATCAGCTGGTCGATCATCACTCATCCATATTGGTTGTTCTTGTTCAATTTCAATTTGTGCTTTTAATGTTTTATACCAATTAGCTGTTGAATCAAGTTTTATTATTGATGTAAATAAATATGAAAATAAAAATTCTAAACGTTCAGATGATTCAAATAAACGTCGAGAAGATTTTTGATAAAGTTTGCCATATTCATGACGAATTTGTTTTATTTGTCGACGATCAGATGCTTTAAAATAAATAACTATCGGATAACATTGAGCATAATTTAATTGTTCAACAGCTGTTGGAGTTACATCAAGTAAGCAATGTCGATTCTAAAAAACATATTCAAATCAATTTATAATACGAAAAAAAAATGAGATAATCTAAATAATAGTTGACTTATCACAATACTAATATTATGTTGGATTATTTTCGATTTTGTTTCTGTAGCATGATTTCGAAAGAATTGTATGTAGAAAATGTTTGCTAAAGGTCAACTCAAATTACTATTTCGGATGAATGTGTAGGGCGAGTTAACCACCGAATACAAAACAATTGGAAAAAAGTATCTAGTATCTTCGAACCAACTATTAGATTGAGTCCGAAGTAGTTTGATCAATCAATTTCGAGATTTTGGATTCAATGGACTCTAGTTCATGGGTATCAAGCATATGTCAATATCATCCCTGAAATACATTAGTATTATAGTAAAACTTGTGAAACCAATCTTAAGATGAAAAAAACATCAAATGTTAGAAATTTATACTATCGAACATTTTAGTAGTTACTGCAGTTTCCTGAGAAGAAAGCCTTAACTCTTTGAGGACAGATTTACTGTTCAAAAAAAATAACCGTTTTTGGAACCTCTGAGATAATGGCATATATTCACAAGTTAGAAAGGGATGAGATACCCAAATAAACAGTGTTCCTTCCATCAAAATCCGGCTTGAGTTCTTCATTGCTAGTGAAAAATTTCGAACTACCCCTCTATACGAGACATGCTGAAGTCGGTTACTAGTTGAATCAGAAATGTACATCTAGCTCCTAAAGTGTTAACACAAATTTTTAGAACCCATAGTAATAATGTTCAACAAGTCTTAAAACAATCATTCTCAATACAACTTTGATTCTATGTAACTTACTCGTTGAATAACATTTTTGATACTTTGTAATTTAATAACGTTAGCTCGTGCTTTTGTCGGAGATTGTGCTTCGATACCTAGAAATCAATAATTTATAAAAATATATTAAAAAAATTATTTTTTTTTAAAATTAAATCTTGCATTAAAATACATATTCTGTTTAAGATATTTCAGTATTTACAATCTTTCACTTACGAGGTAATTCAAATAGATCAGGATATTCTTTAAGTAAACGATCTCGTGCAATATCAGCTAAAGGGCCAAAAAGAACAACAGGTCGAACCATGGTTACTATTATAAAACAATCAAAATAAATTTCAATGATAGTGACAAACTTACCAGCTTTAAGTACAACACGTTCATATGCTGGAAATTTCGAATTGGTCAATGCTAAAATGAAAACAAAATAAAACATTTTTAAAACATTGTTTTCCTTTAATCTTTTTTTTTTTTCAAAAATATTAAAGCGTGGCCATTAAGCATAATTAAAATACTATTCTTTCCAAAATATGTCCTGCTACAAAGCATCCGCGGTTAGGAAAAGAAATAATTATGTAAGTGATTATCATGAAAAAATAAAACAATATACAATGACTTACGCCTCCAACAAGTAACTTTAGCTATAAATGTATAGGACGAATAGAACTTTTTTTTTTCTATATATACAAATAAAATAACAAAAAACATACCGAAAAAAGAATCTTCTTTTAAATGATGTATTGATGAAACTGAACGTGAACGTTTATCACTAAATTTTGATCGTAATTTACGTTTAAATGATGGTTGTTTGGATTTAAGTAATTGATCAAGACTTGGAGCAACACTTGCTAATTGTTCTGCTCTATAAAAAAACATTTAATTTTTATAAACAATAACATCTCCTATTTAATAACATACCGTAATTTATTTGGTATAGCACCAGTTATTTTCGTTTGTGATGCAGGTGCATTTAATTTAGTTGCAACCCAATAGCCAACTTGACCATTGTAAAGTGTATCAGTTACATGAAAAATATCATTTACACGAATCGATAATTCTTCTTCGTTTGTTGTATTATAAGTAAAATGAGCACTGCAAAAAAAAAACAAGAATTAATTAGAAATGAAATGTTTTTTATTTTTTTGTAATTCTATTTTATTTTTCATTACCGTATATAAAATGAATCACCGCCAATATCAGCTAATAATTGTTCATATTCTAAATTTCATAAATTTAATATTTGAAAATTCGCAAAAATATAAAACAAACCATGACGTAAATTAGCTACAATCATATTCACTTGTAATGTTTTCATATTCATCAAGCATAAAACAGCTTCTTCACGTGTTAAAGTTGTAAAATCGATATTGTTCACCTAAGAATAAAGAACGATGCAAATTGAAGATAAGTATAAGAATTCAATATAGAATAAATTAGTCTTTACATATTTCAATAGAACTATGTAATCGTATATTACATCATATGAACAGATCATTAGGCTTTGATCTTTAGAACTGACTATCATCCTAAGCACCATCATTAAAATCAGTATCCATCATGCTTAAAAATTTTCTTCAATTATTGCTTTAACAATAATCAAGTCAAATACAACTTACACTGAATATTTTATCGGCAACAATTAATCCTGCTTTATGTGCTACACTGTTTGGTTGTACTTCACATATAAATAAGCCATGTTTATCACCACCTGCTAATCGAATACCCATACTTGTAGTATCAGTAAAAAAAGATACATATCTTGTTCCAGTGCTATATTAATAATCAAAAAGATAATGAAAAGAGACATGAAAAAATACTTTGTTGACTTATTTACCTTGATCGCATAAAATCTTGACGATTAATTGCTGGTCGTTCAAATACATGTTGATTATAATCTGCTTGTAATTCTTTACGTGAAGATGATGGTCGATCATGAACAATAATAGGTATTGATGTTACATCTTGATGATTGTGAATTCCATTTTCTGTTGCTATAAGAATATTAGATATCAAAAAGAAGACTCAAAATTTTTTGTATCTTACGATAAGATAATAATTTATCATGATTTGATTTATTAGGTATAACAAAAAGAACAAGTCGTTCTTTAGCTTTATCAATTAATTTTTGTGCTTCATGTAACGTTAAACGATCAACAAGTGTTTCATTTATCTTTAAAAAAAAAAATTTTTATTAAGTTTATTTTTCATTATAAAATACAAATATTTACTTTAATAACTTCATCACCTTCATGAAGATTCACATATTTATCGTTATTTTTATAATGAATTTTTTTAATGAAATATCGACAACCAAGAACAATACCAAATTTTTCATCTTTACGCGTTTTATTCAATATACATTTAACAGGTGGTTGACTATCCGAGACAATAACAGGATGTTTTCGTCGTCGAACAATCTAATCAAATAATTCATAAATTTTCATAAATTATAAGTGATGAAAAAAATCAATTACTAAATTAACAAAATCAGTTGATTCTCGAATTAATTTTAATGCTGAATGTTCCATATGGCGTGTAACTGGGTGACCGTTAACACTTAGAATTTGATCGTTTGGACTGATTGAAAAAGAAATATTTATTGAGTCTAGTGTTTTTTTTAATATTAAATACATATGAATACTTACAAAAGTTTTCCATCTGCAGGTCCATTTTTAATAACTTCACAAACAATTAATGATTGATTATCCAATTGATTTTCATCATGATAAGAGATATTATTTCGTTTTAAATCAATCAATTTATTTTCATTACTTCCACCACTAATCGCTATACCAAAACCATGTAAAGGTGACTAAATAAAAGAATGATTTCTTTCTTTCTCTTTTACTTGCTATCATAAATCAATATCTTGAACGAAAGAAAGCCGCCTTCAGGGTGTTAGTGATTCAATTGTCACCTGTTGCTTGATTACGTGAACATTTTACTATAGAAGACCCACATAATAGTACAAAGAAAAAAATCAATTTCAGCACGATAACGTTAAAGGGATTATGCTACAGAATTGATCAATTTAAAAAAGCAACGACAAACTTACTCGTGTCAATGTAACTTGAATACAGTCAGATGTTTCATCATCATTTAAACTAGTTCTATTATTATTATTATTATTATTATTATTGTTGTTGTTGTTGTTATTGCAATTGTTATTGTCGATCTACCAATACAAATATAAACAGAATAAAAACGTGTAAAAAGAAAAGCTTGGACACACAACGAAGACAAGTAAACAGCACGTACATTCATATTTAGACAAAAAGCCCAATGGCTAGTTCATTTTGCACGTTCGAAAAAAAATACATGATCAAATATCGATTACATTTAGGAGCTAACAAAATAAAATATTGATCTTCTTCATCCTTCTCACGTACAATTCAAATATTCTCATTTCTATCTGTTCAAAACAATATTCAATTTTATCATGTCAAACAATACAAATTCAATAAGATTATCAATTTATATAGATAACAGAAAAAGAAATAGTTCATTATTTTTATCTTCAATTTCTTTTTTATAATGACAAAAAGAAAAACAAAATTAATACATACCAAAGACATTTGATAGAAGCGTTTTTTATGAAGTATCGTTTAATGAGATATCGACCAACGTTTACCAATACTTTTCAATCGTTATACTTTTGGTATTCAAGGTCTTTATGTGTGAGAATAAGTAAGAGACGAGAAGACCCTAAACAAAAGGATCAAATTCGCCTTATGTTCAATTCACTTCGTATAGCAGTTGACGATCGGACAATAGACATCGAAGAGGAGAGACAGAGAGAGAAAGGTATGTTCAATGTTGATAATCGGCTGAACAGGAAGAGGAAAAGTTCACCTCTTTCTCTAACCGTCGTGTCCGAGAAGCGAAATAATCATTCTTCTTTTCCCTATTCATACATTCGTCTGTCGTATACAACACAACGGTCAACTTATTTTCTTTTATATTTCATTCTAGATGACCGATAGCACGTGATTTGATAATGATGATGTTGATTTCAATAAGACAGTGAAATATATTCACTCACCTTTGTTTTTTACTAAAATTCAAAGCAATAGGTATCGAATTATAAGACTGACATAGTCATGTACATTGTAATTATTTCGATAGTAGGAAAAAAACATCACTCAGTTCACTTTGTACTCCTGAGAATAACATTCATAAAATTTTTCGTGTTCTGTTCGAAATGAGAACGAAACAGTAACAGCAGCACAGTAATAGAAACACTAACAAGATGAAAGCGAAAAAAAAAAAAGATTTCTTTGTTGCTTGTACACCAATAACAACACATGCTAGATGAAAGAGAAAGTAAGAAACAGGTGCTCTTTTTTTTTTTCTTTTGTTTTTTGTATTGCTTATTTGACAACTGATGGCCATTGAAATTTTGAACAAAGAATTCGGTAATTAGAGACAGTAATCGAAAAAAGAAATGTTTCTTTACGTCCTTCAAATAAGTTGGAATTGAATAGAAATAGAAAAGAATATTTATTTCATATAAAGAAGTTTTTTTTTTTTTCATTGTTATATTGTATAAAATATATTCATTAGTTTAAATTGATTAATAAAACACAATAATTACATCACACATTTTTGTAAGTTAATCATTGAAGATAAATTTATCAATAGTTCGTTTACCGGATGAATTCAACATTTACTAGGTAAATAAATGATTTATGTTGTAGCTTACACTCGATAATAGCAACACTATTGATCAAAGCAATATTCTATTTGCGGACATGTTCGAAAATCAATACGTGATACGATGGAAGAAAAAAAAAACAAGTTTTTGACATTTAAGCAAGAAACATAAAATATTATGAATTTATATAAATATGTAATTATGTTTTATTTTTCTTTCTTTCGACTATTGAATTAACTTTACCTTAATGAGCGACACATTAATTGACCATTAGTTTTAGATCAGTCACACGATCGAATCATATTCTATAATCATGATTTATCTACAGTTGATTTACTTGAGTTTATATGCGTATCTAGGAGAGTAGAATGAATGAACTTGTTAATTTTATATAGAAAGAATATTGTTTGAAAGAGGATTGTGCGACAAATACAATTTAACGGATTAAATAAAGAATTCAATAGAAAAAAATTTTTTTTTTGTTTTCACATCATTATTGACAACTAACTATTGAGATATTTTTCTCATATAATTTATTTATTCAGATTCAGTTGTATACAATAAACATTGTGTATTGTCATCAGATAGATTTTTTGAATAGGTCGATGTTTATGATTATAAGATATTGTTTATTGTACATATTAGTATAACAACATTCTGTGAAGATTGTCGACCACTTAACAATTTTTAATCAATGAAAAACTCTTATTTTATCACGTATATGTATACACGATTTTATTGTTTCGAACAACAATTATAAATATAAATATAAATATAAATATATATGAATATGTTAGCGTCAAAACCGAGATTCTATTTAGTCTCGTATCCAAGATTGAATGCATTCAATATCTGATTGAAAGGGAAATTTATATTAAAACCTAAATTAGCTTGTAGATTGATATCGTATTCGGATTTTTATTGATGAACTAACAGAGTGAGAACGATAGCCTGTCAATCGATACAATCATTAATCGATGAATTAAGATTCAAGTGGTTATGAACTATTTTTCATTGAAGTAGTTATTGTGTATAAAAACATCCGTAACTTCAACATATTCAGAGTTAATTGATCAATTGATAATTGTATTTATTGAAATGCCATTATTTCTTCTCAATTCATCAATACGAGTATGAATATTGTGTCGATCTACAGACTAATTCGAATTTTCCTCTGCATCTCATATTGAACACAGGCTCAATTTGAATGGTAACATTCATAGAAATAAAAGAGTACTGGAATGAAAGCAACTCGCTAAATGGGTAATAGTGAGAAGAATTCTCTAGAGAAATGAAAAGAGGAAGACAACGAATTCACCTGAACATATTAGAAAACAGAACATATGCGTATCCATGCCAGACAGCAGAACCAATGACTATATACACAGAATACATGCACATGATGATATCAAAATAAGTATAAAAAGAACGAGATGATGGCAACATTTAAATATTCTCTTATTACTAAATCAATTATATCATTTTCAATTTCTATTAAAAAAATAGATATTTCATAAACAATCTTATCAGTATTTTTTGAAAACTCGCCGTAAATTTCTGATATGATGCAAAATATCCATAGACAATATGCATGTCTGTTATTACATGTGAATAATAATGTATAGAAATTTATTTTTGATAAAAGATAAGAAATATTCTGATTGTTATCAAATTAATTGATAGTGCGATAAATCAATCTGTGAAAAAAATACAAAAATAAATCTAGTTTACTATTCTAACAAATAAAAAAAAAGAAAAAAGACTAGTTATTTGTTTTGAATGGCTTTGCAACTGGTTCAATGTTGCTTTACGCTATCTATCAACTGTTATCTATCCATCTAAATCAAGCTAATTAAAAAACTAAATTCAAATCATTTATTCGTTTTAAATTTTTTATTTATTCAAATTTAGTAAAACTACATTGGAAAAAAGTGAGTTTGCTGCTTTATAAATGATGTGTATCTTCCATTCTGATTTTTAATGATGCAAATAACGACAAAAGCAGATCAATTTACAAATATTCTACTCAAAGCTATGGCAAGTTAGAAAGATTGTAAAAGATGATATGTACTGCTAAAGAAAAAAATCATCAGTATATTATTGAACAAAAAATAATATCATTTCAATGACTTTCACAATTTGTTTTTTGACCTTTACTTTTGCCTTCATGTTCATTCAATAAATGAAGTTTCAATTGATCATATTGATAAAGAGCAAACGAACAGATGAACATAAAAGCAATATTGTTATAACCCGAAGGTATTCCTATACTACCCTTTGTACAATTCACTATAGTGCCGCCAATAATAATGCTTTTATATAAAAAAAAAATGTTGCTTGTTTTTAAAAACAATAATCAGATGACACTATAAAAGACTAACAAAAAAAAACGGAAGAAATTCGTACAATTTCCACATAAATATCGTTAGGCGAATGTGAGGCGTACAGTGAAGATTATGTTTATAGAAAGCAATGAGAAATACTTCGAACCCTAAGGCTATGAAAAGAATACTCATAAATCATCGTATATAACGTCTTGCACATTTTCCAAGTATAATAACTATAATGACAATCACCTTGATTATACTATGAGTAATATCCATGTCAGCCGTGAATAATTGGGATTGGTTGTCCTATGTAATGTATAAATATATAAAATTAGAATAAAAGCGACTTATCATAGAGCATCTCTTTTAGATAGACAATTGAACTTTCTTTGCATAAAAGCAAATTATCTATTATAGAGTATAACCATTCTTCTTTTGAAAACTCACCAGCAATGATAATCAGTTATATATGTACGCTTGCCATAAACNTCATTCTCTATCCAGTGGTATCCTCCAAATTCGATTATCTTACACTAAAGAAGAGAAAACGTATTTTTCTCGAAGTGCATACTGATTTTTTGAGATTTAAATTTTCCACCATTTACTTTGTTGAATCGTAGAGAACTTAAAGTAGTCTTGTTCAATCTAATTTTTTTATAGCATATAGCTGCATGCCTCCTCTTTCGAATGGCTCCTAAAAAGGATCATTTGAGTTGATAGAGTTTGAATTAGTTAAATATTTTTATATCATTGGGGGAGGGGGGTCTTATAATTATGAGACACCCTGTATAAACATTCTCGAACTCAATATGAAATTTTGATGAAGTCTAATATTAAACAATAAAATGTCACTTTGCGCTGATCTTCATCCGAACTTCAGTTTTTTTAATCAATTAGTAATTAATACTCTATCAACGAATCTAGGATTTTTGATGGTATGAAGACACTTATAGCCGAAAGAGGAGATAATAAAAAACAAATATCATTTTTCGAGCTTCATTCAAGATAGTATAAACTGTTTTTACGTTCGTTTTTCACTGAAAAAAAACTCTTGAAGACGAAGCGACTATCCTTTCACCTCTATCTTCTCCACTTAATTCTACCATTGTTGCATAATGGATCAATACAATTTGATGAAATATTTATGTCAACTCATAATTATTTTCTTTCTAAAATAAAATAATTTCATTAGATCAAGTCATTCTGTTTTCAATTCCTTCAGCAAGATAAGTTCGGCTTAGATAAGTTATTGTGTTTTAATTCAACTTAACTTGATGTTTATCGAAATCAGTGTTTTTTGTTTTGGGTACATTAATTACTAACGATAGAAGATTCATAAGTATGAGTCTCCATTTTCAATCGGTTTTATGCTAGTTCTTGAAATTCGACAAGCAGATCATGATAATACAAAGCATTTTTCATCGTAGACATTCTTGGATGAGTTAACTTCCTCTCAACTCTAAAACGATAACTTGTGGTTTAATTCTCAGTTTTAACAACTTTAACATTGATGCACATTAATTGACTGTATAAATTCATACAGTCAATAGGAGTAGAAGTTCTAATTATATCTATACTTGGAATATTTCTATACCATTAATATTGTGAATGTACGGAATCGAACTATTTTTTTCAAAACAAATCAAGATTCTCTAAGAATACTATTTTAAAGGCGTAGTAATTCAAGTCTTGAGAAATATCTCATTTTCATTAGTCTTCAGCCTATTTAATTGTTTTTCTGCATTTTTATATGAATAATTACAATAAATAAGAATGATAATTGAAACATGGTCATAATGTATTTTTAATATATGTTCTAAATGAATGAATGAACATACAATTGAAATAAGATGAATTTTGAAGAAATAGTTAGATCTGTACATTCACAGTAAATATGATCTTAAGATATTCAAAGTATGAACATAGCTAGGACTTCTGGTTATATTGACTGTGTGCAATCAATTAAGACATATTCAGTGTTAAAATTCTCAATACTGAGAACTTCCATTGTAAGTCAAAATTATGTTACTTGTTTCAATGAATTGATCAATAGTGCATCTTGACAATCAAAAAAAGAATTTTTTCTAATATTCTTATTCTTTTCAACGTATATTTTTTATTTCTTTTTCAAGAAAAATGCACAAAACTATGAATTATTAGTTTTTTCGATGTCTTTTTAATTTTTCCATCGTTAGTGGATTGCTCCTTTTGGAAAACGTAGTTGGTTAAATGATCTTGATCTTCGATAATAATTTGTTGATAGGAATGTTTTCAAACTTTGATATTTTTGTTTTAATAATATTGGTCGAGCTTTTTCACGAAATTTTTCACGTAAAACACTTAATGTTGTTGAAATATTACCCAAAAATAATATAAAAAATATTATTGATAATACATATACTTGCCATTCATGAGTAGTTGGTGCATGTGCTAGTTGCCATAATGTATATCCATTATATAATTCAAATAAATAGCCAGCAAGAAGAAATGGAACCAAAAATGACAATCCACCTTTAAAAGAAAAGAATTGTTGCCTGATTTATATTCAGATCCCTACGAGAAATGTCAGAATTTTTCATCTGATTCGAAATTTCTCTAATTAATTTTCATAAAAAGACTTATTTCTATGAATACGTCATACACTCTATAGTACTTAGCAATATTCATTTGCATTAAAAAGTACTTATCAGCAGCACGCAATTAGACCAAACAATAACTCTAGAGTTCTTCTCAGAAAAATAGTCTAGTGCTAAACAGTATGAATGCAAATCACATTTTAGCGTTATGGTCAACAAATTGCATTTCGAAAGGCAGCATTGTATTTCAATCGACGAACAGTGCTATATAAATTTCGTAGCTGAAATGTTTCGGTGGAAGCCATCAGTATGTAGATTACTGAATAAACTATTTAGAAATCAACAATATCAAAGGTGAGCTAATATGATTATGCACTCGTACTCGATGGACTACGTCATTTTGTTGATCACTATGAAGTGTAACAGTTTTTTATGGGATTGCAGGTTTTTAGGGAAGTTAATGAGAGGAATTTAAGTCCGAGTCGCAAATCCTGTATGATTTTCGTTTTGGATCGAAGAGCCTTAGAAATTTCGGACCGGACCAAAATTCATATAACCCGTCCAAAAAATTAAGGAGAAGATAACTCTATAGATGAATTCATGTCCAACTTTTTGGACATGTGAAATAATTGAAATTCTTTATTATATTTTACTTACGAAACATCCAACGATGGAATCCTTCAATAGTTATATCCATATCATGTGTTTCACCTAATGCTCGAAGACGATAGAGACAACCACGTTGATAATAAAATTGAAGACCCTATGAAAACAAACAAAAAAAAAAACTTAGAATTGTATAGTTTTAGAAAATCATAAATGAAATCATTTTTTACTTGAACAAAACTAAGATAAAATGAAAAGATAAAAAATTGTGTGCGAAATGTATGATAGGAATCCGATTCAGGCCATGTTAATAAAATAGCTGTAGCTACTGTTGTTATAAAATGATGAGCTCTCCACCAAGCTAAAAAAAACAAACAATCAAGACATTTCTAAAAGATTTCTAAAAATAATTTACGATTAATATTTGATCCATTGACAATTAAAATAGATTCACGTATTGTCAATGTACAATAATACCAAACAAGTAAAAAATGAAATAATGCATCAAATGCACGATAACGTGATGTTAATGACCAAATAACAAGTGAAGACACTAATGAAATACAAGTAACAATAAATTTAAATTTTTCATATTCTTCTTTGTATATCCATTTTTCAGCTTTATTTAATATTGATACATCAACACCACCAAGAATTACTTTTAAATATGAATCTTTACTTGGTAATGTATTCGAGATTCTTGATAGATATAATGAGTTGGTATTTAATCGATCAGATATGAGATTCAAACGTTCAACATATGATAATGTATCAGCTAATTTATCTAATGCTGGGGATGAATTAACAGATGGTAATTCATGTTGATGAGATAATGATCTAACTGCACATAAGTTATGTCTATTCTTTAAGAGATTCGCGGTAAATTGAGAATTTTTCAGATTTGAATTTAATGTGGTTTTCTTTGTTTCTGAGTCTAAATAAATAACGACTTTATTTTAAACATTTAATATTTTCAAAAAGTTAAATATTATGGATTTATTATCTTGTTTAATGTAATTAATCATGAATAAATTCAATACAAGAAATAGTTTTGTGAACAAGAAACAACCGATTTTATAAGCCTATTTAAGATTTTGAAATTTTATAAATCATAATATCTGTTACATTCATAAATACACATTTGAACAAAATTATTTCATCACTTTCCTCGTTATACTCTCTATGCAGTGATATATTTTTCCAAAAAAGAAATGCGGATAACTGATTTTTACCTAAAAAAATATAACTTGTCAGTAGCTTTTACTTGTAGTATCTATACATATAGCAATTAAGCTTAAACGTTTCCCTAGATTCACTGCGTCAAAGCTTATGCAAACTATGATATCATAAAAACAGCGAGGAAAGAAATAATTTTAGTCTAGAGATTCATTATTAAATATCAATAAATTTATTATTTTCTTCTAACATAAGGACTATATTTTGTTAGATTCAATGTTTCTTATGAGAGATCTTTGTTTATTTAGATAAACGGAAACACAAAAATACTATTATCATATTTATTCAAAACAGTACGAGAAATGTTGTCGAACATACAGAGTTTTGTCTTTTAGGAATATGTATAGTACAAAGAATGCCATAGTATAAAAAAAAATGTTTACGATATTTTAGAACATTCCAATAATAAATATACAAATAAAAATTATTTCCGGAAAAAAAGAACTTCTATTATTCATTTTAAATACGCCATTAACAGCTGTTGTAGACCGAAAAATTAGAACAAATGTGTTTGAATATGCCACAGAAATTTCATGAATCTTGAGAAGTCTTAAAAATCAACTGTTTCTTCGTTGTTTATTTATCATCTACTTTATTCCTGAATAAATCATTTTTAGAGCAAACATATTCTTATGCTTATTCTTTCATGATGTATTATCAAGCAAAGTCAGCATAAATTCATCTTTAAAGTCTAATTATATATATAATGATGGACGAAAATTTAGAGCAGCTATATCTTTTAGTTTTTTTCTTGGTAACAATAGCTAGCAAGAATCTGAAAAGATATTTGTGTAACTGGAAGAATTCTTTATCAAGATTAGTAAGTCCAAAGACTTCAGCAAGATTACTTGGATAAGAGTCTGTGGAAAATTAAGACTTTCAAAATTAGCTTTCTACTTTTCATTCAAATCTTTCAGGAAAAGGTTTTTATCTGATGAAACAAATAATTCTGAACAAAATCAAACGTCTATAACCTTTCATGACTTTTCTTCATCGAACTACATTCAATTTATAGACGCCTAAAGCGTCAAACATATTAAAAGCATTAACATTTTTAATCAAAAAACAAATGGAATGCAAATCATAGAGAGATCGATGACGTCTCATTTTACTCCGAATTACTAGCTCTATCAGATAAAACTTTTTTCACAAAGCTTTGAATGAAAATCAGAAAGCTGATTTTGAGAGTCTTGATTTTCCACAGACTCTCATCCAAGTAATCTTGCTAATGTCTTCGGGCTTACTAATTCTGATAGAGAATTCTTTCAACTACACAAATATCTTTTCAGATTCTTGCTAGTTATTATCACTGAGAAGAAAACTTACAAATACAAGTGCTCTATACTGGTTCGCCACTATAAATATATATAATTTTTAAGTTTGTTGAAATCAATTTCTCTTTTTCTTCTAACCTTTTTTCGCATATGATTTTTGTAATTGAGCAACATCTTTTTGTAATGTAAAAATTCTTTTTTTGTATTTATCAAATTCATTTTTATATTTTGTTTTAAGTAATTCTACTTCATCTAATTTTCTAACATATTCTTTATGTTTTAATTCAAAGGTACGTAATTCTGCATCAAGTTCTAACCAATTATCATATAATGAATTAAGTTTTTTATCATCCAACCCTCCAACTTTATCCATCGGTTGATCATCAATTGAACATTTAGATGTTAATGATATTGAATGATCTTCATCATCATCTTCTACAAATTCAACACTAATACGACGATTTTGTTCCGTTTCATGATTAAATATTATATCATCTGTCATTATTTTATTTTATTGAAAGCTCGACATCTGAAAAATAAATAAATATTGTTCATTTTGTTATTATTAAAAGAAAAAAATCTATGATGAGATTCTTCAAATAAGATAAAAAACAAATAAATATAATCTAAATGGCATTATCACTATTGCTGAGAGAAAGGCAATTCATATTATTGACAAAGTTCTTGAAAGTGATATATTATATATAGTGAGAGCTTGGTAAATAGAATCAATTTGTTCATAAGACATTTTCTATTTTCTATTGATTCTATAACATTTGATTTTAATACATGATGAATAACGGACGTTCTAAGTTTACTGTACGTTTTACACCATTTACAACATATAAACGGTTTAATAATGAAACAGATCAATTATTTCTTCATTACGAAGAAGAAAAAGAAAGACATACGTCTACTACTCATGGTATTACAGCACTTGAAGCAGCTTTGAATGTTACTAATGCAATTCAAGTTGAGTAGTTGTTCTTTTTTTTTTTTGGTTCTAATTAGAAGAAGTAAAGAAACTTTTTTTTTAGGGAATGTTTCTGGTCAGTTTACCATATTCAGTTTATCATGGTGGATATTGGTCTTTACTTGCTTTGATTGTCGTTGCTTGGATATGTACTTACACGGGACAAATACTTATTTCATGTCTTTATGAGCCAAGTCCATCAACAGGATTACTGATGAAAGTACGACATTCTTATGTTGATATTGCTGAAACTGTTTGGGGAAAACGTTTTGGTGGACGAATATTATTTATCGCTCAAAATATTGAATTATTGATGACTTGTAAGTAATTATACTCAAAAAATAAAACGACAAAAAGAAAATACTTGCAAGTTTGTTTTTGTTTAGGTATTCTTTATTTAGTTCTGTGCGGTGAATTACTTGCAGGAAGTTTTCCACAATTTCAAATTCCTGTTCGATATTGGATATGTTTATCTTGTTTATTTACTCTTCCATATTCATTTATTCGAAGTCTTCGTCTTGTATCACGTTTTAGTGCTGGTAATGCTGTAGTTCATTTAATAATAAATATGATTATAATAATATATTGTCTTACACAAGCATCAATGTGGGATTGGTCTAAAATTCAATTACGTATAAATATAGCTTCATTTCCAACATCATTAGGTATTATTGTATTTAGTTATACATCTCAAATATTTTTACCAACATTAGAAGATAATATGCGTTATCCACATCAATTTAATGCCATGCTTGTATTATCTCATGTTATAGCTGCAGTATTTAAAACAGGTTTTGCTTTAATTGGTTTTTTAACATGGCAAGAACAAACATCTGAAGTAATAACAAATAATTTACCAACACAACAATTGCGTATTGTTATTAATTTAACATTAGCAATAAAAGCACTTCTATCATATCCATTACCTTATTTTGCTGCATGTGAACTTATTTTACCGAAATTTTCTCTATCTAATGAAATGACAACATGGAAAACAATTTTAGCCCGAATTATTCTTATTTTAAGTACACTTATTATGGCATTATGTATTCCACATTTTGCTCAATTAATGGGTCTTATAGGAAGTATTACTGGAGTATTTCTTTCTTTAGTATGGCCTTGTTATTTTTATTTATATTTAAAAAATTATGCACTTTCATGGACAACAATATTTGGAAATTTATCAATTATTATTTTTGGTTTTATGTGTACAATATCGGGTATTATTGATTCATCAAGAGAATTAGCAAAAAAATTTTGAGAATAAAAACATTATTAAACCATTTTATTTTGTAGTCATATATTAATAAAAATAAATTATAGAACATATAGATACATATATATATATATATATCTACAATAAGATAATATTTTTCAGAATTTACTTTTAACTGATAGAAAGTATCGATCTTTGTCTATTTTTTTCTTTTCTTGATCAGTGAAATGCTTTCTTAATTGAATAGAATTTTATGATTTAAATAAATAAAAATCAATATGCAGAAGACTTAGTTGATATTTGACTTTCGTGAATGATTTACAATTGTTTAAAAAAAATGACCGATGGTTATTATTCATATATTTATATTTAATAATAAAAGTCATGAACCAACTGATCAAAGGTTTTATTTTCATGAGAAAATATACTCCGATATAATAGTATGAAATCTGAAAAAAAAAACTTGCTCTCATAGGTCCATAGGTGGCGAAGCTACAAAGCCTGAGAAAACGAAAACCTATCCTAGATTCACGCTTCTTAGGCTAGAGCAGGTTCAAACACTTCTCTTTCTATCGGATTGATAGATTTGAGCAGCATATCGTATTTTTTTAAATATTAATGTTATTAGTTTTCACCGCCTCCAGCAACTAATAAGAACATTATCTGAATAAAGCAGACTTAGAAAAAGTTTCTGAAAACAACATCGAATTTTATACGAGTAAATATCGAATTATACATCATCAATGAATTGAAACAGAGATCCTTCATTAGAAGTAAAAAAGAAGAGTACAAAAAATTTCAGTCAGATTAATTAGAATCTGTCAAAATTTTTCTTCACCTTCGGCGACTAAGATTAAATGCCCATGAAACATTTTTAACAGGAAAGAAGTTCACAATACAACATTTTTTCTTTTTATAGAATATTTCTGCTTCGTCATTAAACTGTTTCTTTTCCGGCAAAAAAAAGATCAGAATTTCTTCATTCGAAAGTCGCATTTCAACGAACATAAATGTTCTTATATTATTCCAAATACATAGTTTTTTTTTTTTTACATAAGTTACAAATTTCTATTTTCACTTCTGCTAGTATTACACATTGCAAAATGTTTGATGGAAGAGAGATTAACTGTATTTCATCGAAGTATAATTGAAAAAATTGTCTTCTCTCAATTTTAACTTCCAAATAACGATCTCATATAAAATGTTGAGCTTAACCTAAAATCAAAACGTTCCGACATCTATGCATTAGACTAATCTAAAGGTTCGACAAACACACAAAATGAATATTCTAATGTTAACAAAATTTAAATAAATTACTTATAGGAAATAAAGTAATAATAATAGGCGCCCATAACAAAATATGTAGACATGGCTTATTATGAGTGATAATATACTTGCTTATAATTGCAACCAATTCATTACCAGTTATTTAGAAGGATATTATTAATGTTGGTTTAATATATAAAAACACATCTTCATGTCTTTATATTCTTTTTTTTTTTTAATTAAAGTTGCTAAGTTCCAAAAATTTTTACTATATAAAAATATAATAACAATTAAGTTGAAAAATAAATATAATAATGCCAATAATAAAACTTTCTATGAGTTAGTAACATTTCAACCAATGTATTTGTCTTCATCAGATTTAATACTAACATGTAAATTTGTTTTTCTTTTTAATTTTCTTTTTTCTTTCTGATGTTTTGTTATACTTGATATGCACCATTGTCAGACGGAGGAAGAAGAAGAAAAATAATTCATCTCTCCTAATAATGTTAATGTCTTGTCGTCTCTCTTTCATATGTTAGATGTAATAATAATGCATGAAGGAAAAGAGAAAAACAACACTTTAAAAGATTTTTACATTCCAGTATCAAATCTAATGAAGGCACCTGGATCTATCAAAACATTGCTGCCTAATGTGTAAACTTTTACTATTATTTTGAATATATTATTAACCCATTTAGGACAATATGATCAAACTGTGGATCACTGAAAAAAAAAATGAAGTATTTCCATTTTAATTTTATTGAATGCCCTGTTTTTTGTTTGTTGATAATGGAAGAATTTTTAAATGTTTTTATTGTTAAGGAAAACGTCAATAAATGCTATGTTAAAAGTTCATAATTGACCACAAGAAAAAAAACGGCTAGTTCCTGTAGGTTATGAAAAAATAACTTTTGTCCAAGCGCGAGAACTTTCAATTGTAATAGGAATTAGTTTTATTTAAAATATGCTTTACTAGAAATATCCTTCTATAATTTGAAACAAAAATTAGTCTAATTTATGAGAATTTGCTGTGCTTATAAAATTTTACGTATTCAAAGTACCTTTCAGTATACAAGAAACACGAAGGGTACTTATTGTTTTTAGATACGTTGCAGTATGGAGTGCTACCTAGCAGAAGATTCAATATCCTACACATCTTCCTACAGCTATGACGAACTGATTGAAGAGTAGATTTATGTCACAAAACAGTCAGCATACTATCGGACAAAAGACTTGAGAAAAATAGTCGTTAGTGACTTGTTTAAGTTATTGACGAAAAACAAACAACTCATTCAGTTAAAATACAGTGAAGATACTCAAATCTTCTTGACCATGATTCATCAATATGTAAAATTGCCTGGAATGTATTAATTTAATTGCATGCTTATTTTTTTTCTTAAATCTTGTATTTATACAGTTTAAAAAATTTTAAACTTTAAATAATTTAAAGAAACGTATAAAGAAATATCGAGGAGTATAAAGCACTCCACATGATAATATGGAAAATCTGCCATCCACTAAAAGTAGCTTTAAATATATATAGTATCAAAGACTATTATTCTACATCGTTTGGTGTAATGGATTTGATTTTTTACAATGATACGAAGCTGCTATATGGTTCCATAGCTTGTTTATATGAGACACATGCATATTTTAAATTGGGCTCCATGGAACTTTTCTCTTTGTAAATATTTTTGATATTAAATATTGAGATTAGATGCGCCTTTCTCTACTCTGCAAAAAAAGCATATAAATACTTGATGAGCTTTCTTTCTTCATTCCGAAATATATGAATAAGAATGTGATAAAAATGACACTACTCTAATTATTCCATAACAGTGCGACCAATTTTTTTCTACAATAAAAAAAAAACAAATACATTCGTGAAATTTTCTCAAAAAAGTTTATCAATACTTTCTGTACAAAATTGACGCATTCGAAAATTGTTCGAACGTAGAAGTCTTTCCATTTATCTAATAAAGCACCCCTTTTCTGTTAGCTTCAGGCTCGGTTTCGATCATTTGTACAAAAGACAATGTTTGAAATCAAGTTTCGACATTAAAATCGAGTTCAGCACCAAAAACTGAATGGAATGATACATATTTTCATCAAAAACATATATATATATCATTCGATTCGATTTTCAATGCTGAACTCTGCATTAATACTCGAAATTAAATTTCAATCATTAGTTTTCGTACAAATAGTCGAAGCCAAGCCGAAACTAAGCGAAAAGAAAGATGTTTTTATCAGATAAATTTGAAGTTCCACATTCGGCAAGTTTTCGAATACGTCGATTTTGTACAGGAAATATTGACGTACTTTTTGAGAGAACTTCACGAATATATTTTTTTTTATTGCAGAAAAATAACGGTCACACTCTTATGAGCTAGTTGCATTAGTGTTGTTTTTACTACATTCTCATCCATATATATATATATATTGCAGAATAAAGAAAGAGAACTTCATAAAGTGTTTATCGCCTTGTCCACGTAACTCCGTAACACCGTTACGTTTTTGCTCATTTTGTTTTGGCCACAACTCTGAAAGGAAAAATCGTAGAGAGGCAAGCGACATCTTAAATTGAAGACAAATTTGTTTTGAAGATTTTGAGTTCAGTCCGAGCTCATAAAAACGTTTCCTCGAAAATCTGTCAGTGAAATATCAACACCTACTTTTGCAAAATCCAGGGAAAAAGTAGGTATTAGTATTTTGGTTATAGATTTTCAAGAGCATATTTTTATGAGCTCGGACTGATCTCAAAATCTTCAAAACAAATTTGTCTTCAATTTAAGACGTCGCTCACTTCTCTACAACTTTTCCTTCCAGAGTTATGATCAAAAGAAAATGAGCAAAAATGTAACGGTGTTACACTCTGCCGCAAGCGTTACGTGGACAAGGCGTTATATGCTTTTTATAGAGCGAAGAAAGGTGCACCCACTCGCACTATTCAATATTAAAAACATTTACAGAAAGAAAACGTTCATTGAACCAAATTTAAAATGTGCATGTATCTCAGATATACAAGCTGATGAGTCATATATCAACTTCATATCATCGATAGAAATTTAACCCATTACACCAAACGATACAGATTTTCCATCTTATCATGTGAAGTTCTTTACTGAACACTAATTTGTTACTAATCATTCATTGAATAAAGAAAAAAGTTCTTTTAACATTGACTAACGTCAATAAAATTTCGCAAATACTTATCAATTAATGTCAAAATAAATCGAAAAAAAAAAGAATTTTAAATCCTATCATTTAACAGATGAATAAAAGAGAAACAAAAATTATTCATGTCTATATTTTTTTTTTAAATTCTTTATTAATGATGCTATATAATTGGAAAGATAATAGCAACAACAATAAAATTTTAACAACAATCACTCCACAAATGAAACAACTGCACTATTTGCTTGTGATTGTTGTGTTTGATAATTACTCCAATTTGCCTAAAAATAAATAAAATCAAAAAAGAAAGAAAAGTAAAACTTTAAAAATTATACATTTGTGTCTCGTTTTCGTTCACTATTTTGTGCTAAACTTTGTGTCCTATTAAATAAATTCTTTGTTTTTTCAATAATTGTTTGATATGGTGATAATGCTTGGGAACCCATAACAACTGTTCCTTGTTGTGAATCAATTTTTGCATCTAAACTTGCATTACGTATTAGATTAACAATCCAACGTTCAGCTTCATCTGGACTCATGTTTAATTTTTCTGCGAGCATACTAAAAAATAAAAATTATAAAAAAAAATAAAAAAATTT